ATCTATGTATGTATGTATGTATGTATGTATGTATGTATGTATCTATCTATCTATCTATCTATCTATCTATCTATCTATCTATCTATCTAAAGAGACAAACAATCTGGGAAATTGCCATAGATCCTCAGGTGAATGAACAGTTTTGTTTACACTTAATCTATGAGTGTGTGTACGGTTTTTTTTTTCTCCAACATTTACAGATTGCCAGCCATCATGAATGCATCTCACCTCCTGTTGACTTTGGTTGTCTTGGCTGCTCTGTTCCAGGCTGCAGATGCTCAAAATAGAATTTGTACATTCATACAAAATCTATTCGACCGAAGTAAGCAGAAACAGCTATAATGTATTCACAAAAAGAACAGTTTTATAGCATGTCCTGATATGTTCTTAAGTAGAATTTCGGTTCCTATTAATGTTTCGAAGATTTACGGTGACGCAGAGCTCATTAAAAGCACATTATTTTAAAATCTTGTGAGATTCACTTTTTCACTTTAATTAACATCGACTTTATTCCCCTTGTCTCTTTCATTAGTCCAATACATCAATCAGTTGAGAGGTTTACACCTAAATATTCTTTTTGAGGTTGTTCTTCTAACACCATTATGAAAGCTTGCCCAATTTGATTATGAACAATTTGAACTCTGTATCTAGTCCATTTCCAATCAATTTTTTAGATAACTATTTTATTTGTTGTGGGAGATTTAGTAAATTTTACTAAGGCAATAGTGGGCTGGAAAAAAATATCGCCTCAGCTCTCAGAATATACTAAATATGCAGTCGCCTTCCAACTCACACTGTAGTCTGCCTCTATCAAAAATACCATTTCCCAACTCAAATACACACCCCTACTTCCCTCCTCTCCCTCTCAGTGCACGTGGGTTTTTTTTTAAAAGTTTTGACTTACATTTTTCCCACTCATCCTTTGGCTTCATCTAGCTCCAGATTCCTTTATGTAGTTGCAACTCTTTTTTTTACCGTTTTTTTTTCTCAGGCTTATGAATCCTTTGCTCCCACATTAACATCGTTCATTTTAAGATAATAGTTCGAAACCACATAAAATTAGACATCAACATTTTAGGTTAGGTACAGAATTCTGAACCTTACCCTTGCACTTAAAGCCTTTTCAATTGACGAGTCCTTAAGGCACCTCCTTGTTAGGTAAGATGGAGGGGTGGGGGATGGGGGTGGGTTGGGAGATTAAGAAGAGTCAGCTGCAACACCCCACAGTTAACACATCTTGCGAGAATGAAATAAAATTACCTTTGATCATAGCTACTCACGCCGTCAAAGCTGCTTTACTCAACTACAAAATAGTCGCTTTTAAAGACATGTGAGCTAACCCAGATTTCGGGGGTTTCCAGAAATCTTGACCTACACCAAAACTGGGCATTGCCCTACCTGTAGTAGAAGTTTGGTTTCATCGGTGTGTGTATTTTTTTTGGTTATAGAGAAAACTCTCCTTGTCTTTTAAAGAAACTGAACAAGGGTAAAAAACTATACCTTTGATTTTCTCAAAACAGCATTTTTCGGGATAGTCCCCTTGTGCTTAAAAGCGACCAAATACACTCGATCATTTCGAACGCTCGCGAATTGTTCATAAAGGTGCCGGTGACAAGGGGTAACGTATCATGGCAGGTGACTTTGCAATTTATATTAAAATGTAAATACGCTCTACGGTCAAGGAAAATGTTCCAATAGGTTTCTTGAGAGAAATACCATGAGTTTACCTGTTTATCATTTGATATAAATGCCTGAAATTTCGTATCCGTAAAAATGCCAAAAGTGAAAACAAGTTTCTAAGATTTTTTAAGATTAATGGTAAATTCGCCTGGCGCCTCAC